AAGACAGATGAGATTGTGCATTTCTTTGCTGCGCAAATAGGGAAATTCATGGATCTGGTTGAAGAGGTGTGATTTCTGTCTTGTCAGAGAGATAGGATGAGAGATATCCGCACATAAGGGAAAGGAAATTCTGACAAGATTGGAAGGGCAAAAGACAGAGCCTGGACCACCCACTGTAAAAGCTTTTAGCACTTAGCATTTGCATCTATGCCGTACAAGACAAAACGTGGAAGAACAAGACCAGACAGATTTGAACAAGTGGAATTTGTTGTGTTTCTTTGCGCTCTCCTGCAGTGCTCCATGCAAGCTCGCTAATACTCAGGCGACACTGCAATCTACGCAGGCAAATCTAATTTTAGCATTTTCGCACATTTGATCGTTATGATCATACGCGCAACTTTGATCTTTTTTGTGTAATACGATGTAAATCTTCTCAGAAAACCTTGGAAATCCTCCTTGTAAGTAGGATGCTGTTGAATAAGTGCCCTCAGCCAAGTTATACATTCCCCAACTTCAAATTGGCGCGAATGTGATTTTTTCGAATATTGCTTTTTGCAGATGTCTGATTCGGCTGGGGACACGAAAGCAGAAACAGCGAAGGACAAGGAGAATGCGGCTGAGAATGTGGTGCCGCCTCCACAGACGGTTGATGAGCCTGAGAAGTCTGAAACGAAAGGTTTGCTTTTCCGCAAGTTTTCGTGAAATCTTTTGCTGTACTTTGCCTTTGCGTCTTACCAGCACCGTTCAGACATCAACGCCGCTCCTGTTGAAGACGCGGGGGATGAGACAGATGACGAAGCAGAGCCTGTGTTGACCATACAAGATATTTTGGACAATGAAGCCTCATCAAGGGAGACAGCTCGCGTTTTGCTAGGTGCTCAAGACTCTTCTGTATGCACATATCCGGAGGTGATCTCTCATATTTCATCGCAATCTTTTACCGCAACTTTTTACCTTTACGGACTTCATTAAAATTTTTTGTTACATAGTCCTTATATCTTTCTCATCATAAGCTTATATTCTCTAAAAAAATGCGGACATATTCCGTTATTAAGCGGAAATGTTTACGCAATAGTTTTTCATGATCGGTTACTTTATGCGGGCTTTTGCGAAGTGTGGTTTTGAGTCGCTGGTAAACGATATTTTCATAAACTTAGAAGGATGCTCCAACTCAATACCCTACAAAAGTATCTTTATTGAACTAGAATATTAAATAACAATGAGGTGTTCGTTACATTCGTCTCGAACTGCAGTTGACGAAGCATCAAATTTTGAAAACTCAATTTGTACATACTCGTTGCTGCGAGATTTTCGATTATTACTTGAACAACTTCAGTTTACTATGTGCCTGAGTGGATATAGTCTTCGTTTATACTTCTGCATTCATTATGATGCTGTAGTAGATCGAAAGGTTTTGAATCACTTTTTGTTCCCACGATGAGTACTGTCTAATTTAGGGTTACAAACCCCGCCAAGCCGTCTTTGCTTGTCTCACATGCGCTCCTGAACCCGAGAAGAATGAAGCTGGCGTGTGCTACGGATGTTCAGTGCATTGTCATGATGGCCACAACATTGTCGAACTTTTCACTAAGAGGCGGTTCAGGTATGCATCGTGATTTTTCAGTTTGGCTTGGAGTGCATTTTTCTACAGGTGCGATTGCGGCAACAGCAAGTTCAAAACAAAATGCACTTTGTATGAGGTCGGCTATAAATCTTTTTTTTTGAATTGTGGTCTTTTTTCGTACTGTGTTTTTCCACGCCAGGATTTCTACTGTATAGCTTAGGGCTTTTACAGGACAAAGAATCTCTCAACTCACAGAATATGTACAACGATAATTTTGCTGGATTATTCTGTGTATGCAAAAAACCTTACCCCTGCGAATTAGACGAGACTATGCATCAATGCGTCGCTTGCGAAGACTGGTTCCATATATCAGTGAGTCCATGTCTGTTT